GAGTATTTAAAAACAAAAGTAAGCACAAACGCTTTTGACCACGAAGCCGAGAAAATAATTCGAGAAAATGGTCGCTATTTTATTATCACTTTAATAAAGGAAATACGCCAACGCCTCCCTACAAATATTGCCAAACTAAAAAAAATGACTTTTTTCGGTTGGAAATGCATTAAGAGTAATTAAACCAACAGTATTTGTTCAACTACAGCAACAAAAACACAAATATAATGCCGACAAAAAAACATCCATAGAGATGCAATGGCAACGGTTAACGTTACATACCTGGAGTAATTTAGACTCAACTGTAAAATTTTGGGCCGAAGTTTATCAATTTCGAAATGCCCTAGGAGAAAACCCTTTTGCTGACCTTTGCAACCTAGTTTTCTTGTTTTCCCTATAAGTAATGCAGAAGTAGAGCGAATATTTAGTTCAATGAATATAATAAAAACTAAGCAAAGAAACCCAATGTGCGTTAAAACGTTAAACGCTATTTTATATATAAGATACGGTTTAAAACGTGAAGAAAAATGCTGCCATAATTTTACTGTAGATGACGATCTCTTAAAATTAATGAATTCAGGTGATATATACAATAGTGATTCATTTGATGATGAGGAATATACACTCGATATAAATTAATGGTGTTAACTAATCTTTCGTTTCTTGCGATTTATTTAAATAAAGCATGTGGATTTTCACTAAAACATTTTAGCCGTTTTTTGCCAGAGTCTATGTGAAATTTCACTAAAACATTTTAGCCGTTTTTAGCCGCTTTTTTTTGCCAATCTAGCCGGTCGGCCCAAAAAGTTCTGGCAACACTGTGTGTGAGGTTTAACCTCCAGCGCTTCCACCAATGATAATTTTCTAGCATACGATTTGCTTAAATACTCGTTAATTGTATCTTTGTACCAACTACCAAATTTACAATCTTTGGCAATTTTCGCTTCAATTGTTTCCAGGCGACGCCGCGCCATGCTATAACTTTCACAAAACTCTACCTTATCAGTTCGCCATAACAAACCAGTTTCGTAATGGCAACGAATTTGCTAGGTTGTCTGAAATAAAATTGTTTCAGCTCTTTTGTCTGCCTCAGACACGACCGGCTGTAGGGGTTTCATCCCAAAACTCTCTAAGGTAAAGTACTCTTTCATTTGCATCTGAATATCGCTAATCACGTCCTGCTCACAGTCTATTCGGCAAACAACTCCTTCAGCACTGTCTTCGTTGGATCAGAACAACGTGTATTCTAAATTTGACCTGTGAACAGAAAAACAATCGTCTAAGTTCACGACTTCTATTGGGCGAACCAAATTTGTGTGCGGAATTCCGATGAGAATTTGCGGAACAGCTTTAACATAATCATCGACTGGCAAGATTCGTAATTTATCGTACTTCCATTTAAAACTGGCAAAATTCAATGTCTGCGCTGGTAGTTCTAATTTTCTTGTTGTGCGTACGTTTCTCATCTGAAAGGTAGTTGCGTTCTGATTCACACCCGAAATTTCGACATCCAATCGTTGTGACAGCTTACTTGTTGTTTTTCCTCCTATCCACCGCAATGATAATTTATCGACTGGACCTTTCAATCCGATGGCTTTAGCTACTTGCTCTTCGATTAGCGATATTTTCGAACCGTCATCGATAAATGCCATCACTTTGCGATTACCCATTGGTCCTTTAATTTCCACAGGTAGGAACTTAAACAGTGTTCTCTTGCTAAAATCTTTTTCGAATATAGTGATGACATTTGCTGTGCCGGCTGTCGGCTTTCCAACATCAGCATCGTTTGCGTTGCTAACCGAAACCTTATTAGTTTGCAGGAACCGTTTATGATATCCACGACAAGAGTTAAGTCCGCACTCACGACGTGTATTACAATTAGTAGAGCTGTGGCCAGATCGCAGACAACTGAAACACAAGTGATTTGCCTTCACAAACTTCCATCGTTGACTACATTCAATATCTTTGAACTGTTTACACTGGTTTAAATTGTGGTTACCTTTGCGGTATGAACATTTGTTTTCTGTCATCGCTAGCACTGGTTTCACTGATTTGTTCGACTTCGAAATCAGCTGTTCATTTGCATTCGAACTTTTCACAGGCACAACATCTGCACCGATTGAGATAAATATAGCGACTTCTTGGATGGAGAAAGTATACCTGGCCTATTCTTCGCGTTTATTCATCGGCAACTTGCTTATTAATTCATCCAGTAAAGTGGGTTTCGTTAGATGCGAGGCTGCGCCTGCATTCTCAAGGAAAGCGGTTAGGTTGCTTACCATTGTGCTGAAGGCTACAATTTCCGTCATCTTTCCTCCAGTTATCGCTGGAAACGCTCTCGCCTTAGCTATTTGGCTACGTATAAGCAGCCGCGGACGTCCTAAATGGAATTCAAGAATCGATATTACAGCGTTTACACTTGATGGGTGTATCAGCAGGGATTCCACTCGCTGTTTGGCTGTCCCTTTAAGAGCCTTTTGTAAACGGAATAAATTGTCTAAGTCTGTGTACATGCAAAGAACGTAGATAACAAGAAGGGGCAACTCGTTATAATTGTGGCGAAAGTGCGCAACAGGGGCGTGCCTTCTCTTTTCATCCAATCAAAAAACGCACTAGGGCAAAAAAGAAGGCATGCCCCTGTTGCGCACTTTCGCCACAATTATAACGAGTTGTCCTTTCTTGTTATCCACGTTCTTTGGTACATGTACATTGCTGTGGCTTCTTTGAAAGCTGCGAAAAACATAGGCCACTCCTCCGGTAATCCATTAAATTCAGGCAGGTGTTGTAGTTTACGTATATGCGGCGGTTGCATTGAAATTGGTTGCGGCAACTGGTTTGACTGCGCACTTGGCAGTCCGGATGGAACTCGACTTGAGGCGAATGGGGAATGAAATCCAGAATGGCTAATTTACAGAATGGCTAACTCTGGCGTTCATGACGTCGGCATAGGTGACGTAGGCTAATTGTACACTAGAATATGTGGCACTAAGGTTGCGGCGGCGGAAGGGACACTGGTGAAGTTACTGTTGGCTAAGGTAACGTGGGTATTTGGGAGCATGTTGCAAAGGCTACCGTTGGCAAAGGTAACACTTGCAGCAGTATGGTCGGCAAGAGTGACGTTAGTAGCGGCAGCATTGGCATAGCTACCGCTGACTGTGTTGANAGGCTACCGTTGGCAAAGGTAACACTTGCAGCAGTATGGTCGGCAAGAGTGAAGTTAGTAGCGGCAGCATTGGCATAGCTTCCGCTGACTGTGTTGATGTTAGCAGAGGATAGGTCAGCAGAAGTGACGTTGGCAGAAGTGGGATTGGCAGAGATTATGTCGGCAGAGGTGCCTGTAACAGCGGCAGAATTGACGTTGGCAGAGGTGGTATTGGCAAAATGGGGGTGGAAAGAGTCTGCTGCAGCAGAGCTGGCGTTTATGGCGCTAAGTAGCGCTTGCGAGGCCACTATTTGCCTCAAATTTAATTTCTCTTTTTCTGCGGCAGCTAGTGAGCGTTGCAGTTCTCTAACTGGTTTTTTTAAATCATAAATTGACTTATCTGTTAGGGTAGGTGTGCGGTCCATTTCTCCCATTGGATCGGTTGCAAATTCAATTGATGTTGCCTGTTTGTTGCTTCAAAGATTGTAGGGTTTCATCAGTCCATATGTTTTCCGAGTAGATTCGAAAGTTTTCGGCGTTTGTCTCGGAACAAATATTAAAAAATGTTGCGGCTGCAACTAACACTCGAAGGAAAAAACAACGTATATGTGAACATGCATTTATTTATACGCAAGGTAAATGCGATACAAAGCTTGCAATGTTTTAACATCTAAAGATTATTACATTTTAGTATGAAATATGTACATTAAAAACCAAATTAATTCTTACTTGTTCGTTTGAATCCCTCGAACGTTCTTTTAAAAATATAATAGATATAGATTTAAAGACCAAGTAACGCTTCGTTCAATATTTCGTTTCAACGAAATATATTTGAAGTGATGCCATACTTATAAAGTTTTCAAGGTAAGACAAAAATATATTTTAGACCATACTTATAATGTAATGTTTACAATGCTTAGTAAAATATAAAAATTGTCATTTATTCAGCGACAACCAGTTTTCCTCCATCTTATTTATATTAAGGGTATTCATCAAACCTTATAAATGCATTGTAAACCGTATAAACTTATAATTGTGTAAACCTTATAAATGAACTGTCAAAATTTGTATGGAAACTCGTTTACACATTTCTGATAAATTTATCCAGCGATTT